GGCGGCCCAAAGAGAATCCAAAAATGAGACCCTGGGGACCCGCCAAGCCCCAAGGAGATGGCAGAGAAGGAAGATGAGACCCAGCAAAACAGCCGATAGTTTCCCAGAATATGTTATTGGCCAAACGTTGGACCTAGGAATGTTTCCTCTATATTCTGAGCTTCTTTTTTGGGTGCCCACGCCTCTCTTTGAAAGGGTTAGGTGTCTGTGAACCTAGACATCTCTCAGAAATGATTGAAGTTACTCAGAAAATCGGGGGCCCTGGAGTGACAAAGGCAGAGACGAAAGGAAAGGGGGGGTTCCGTTCAGCAGTCCTGTGCTGTCTGATCTTGAAGACAGCGGGCAGGGACGGAAGAATGCTGGGCCTGGGGATGGAGGCTGGTCGGATTCCAAGTGGCGGTCTCCTCTGCTGTTTGGGCTTGCAGACTTCAAAAGTGACTGGGGATTCCTGGAAGACAAAAGAATTCAGGGCCGAGGCTTGGATCTCAGTCAAAAATAACTCATGTCTTCATCTCAGGCCGGCAAGGCGGCAGCTTGAGGCTGTTTGCAGGTTTCTCAGGGGCTGGAGCTCCACGCGGGAGAGGGGATGTCAGGGTCAGTTTAGGGTTTGCTTCAGGGAGAGAAAGGGCCTTGAAAGGTGTGGGCCAGGCACAGGGAGACATCCGAATGGGCTAGTCTTGTTGAAAAAGGCCCAAGAGGGAGAGGTTCTGGGGGAAACGTCTCTCTCTCTCACACACACACACACACACACACACCACCGTTTAGGGAGCCCTAATTACAGCCCTAAATGTTTCTTCCCGGCTTCTCACTAGCTCACATTGTCCACAAACAAACTCCTCGGCTCCTCTCCCCGCCCTTCCCTCTCCCAGCGGTTCCTTCTGGCCTTCCTTTTCCTGGGCCACCAATGGCCGCCCCCCAGGTCCAGAACATCAGGTCCTAAAAAAACAAAAACTCTCTCTCTTGAGATGGGTGCATCTTAGACACTCAGCCCCCAAACAGCTCTTCCCTCCCTCCCTGCCTCCCTTAGCCCACTGGGCTGTAATTAGAGGATTATCTCATTTTCTCCCGGGAGGCGAGGGCCTGGGTCTTACTCCCTTTGTACTCTCGGCACCCCAGCCAGGGGCTGGCAAATAATGGACACTCGCAATGTGTTAGTTAAATTGCACTCTTGAGCCGCTGCCAACTTAATCTTCCTAAAATGCTGCTCCCATTAGAAGCCGTGGCCGCTTCCCCATCATCCACCCGGTGAGGTCCAATCCCCTCCGACCGGCACTCAAGGACTTTTGCGATATGGTCCTTATCCACCTGGCCATCTCCCCTTTTGCTCACCCACTTAGCTGTTCCCATCACAGCCCTCGGCTTTCCTGTCTCGGTGCCTTTGCTGCAGTGTTTCCCTCCACCCAGACCCTTCCACACTCGACCCCTCAGCTGCCTGGCTCTTAAGGCTCATCTCAATAGCCGGCTCCCGCACCTCCCAGCTAACTGCATCTGCCCCTTCGGAGTTTGAACGGCTCTCCCAGGCTCCAGCCTGCTCTGCATTGGCTTAGAGTGTCTTCTTAGAAACTTTTTTTTTTTTTTTTGGTTAATCCGCACCCAAGGATATTTTCCATTGATTTTAGATAGAGTGGAAGGGAGGAAGGTGGGGGTGGGGGGTAGAGAGGAACATTGATGAGAAAGACATATCAATTGGTTGCCTCCCACACAACCCCAGGTAGGGCAGGGGATCGAACCTGCAACCCAGGTACATGCCCTTGACCAGGTATCAAACCCAAGACGCTTCAATTTGCAGGCCAACGCTCTAACCGCTGAGCGACACTGGCCAGGGTTTGTTAGGAACTTTAAAAGAGGTCATGGATGAAAGTGCCTACGTAATGAAGAGCAGGGTATAAATGCCAGTGAGCCCTTGCTTGCTGTCCCCTCCCACTAGACCGGCCTCCTCTGAAGGCAGAGCCTGTCCGTGTACAGTCACCTCAGGGCACTACAAGTGCCAGGCTCATGGCAGCAGTTCAGTGAAAGTGAGTAGGCTCCATGCCCATTCCCTTCTGTCCTCAACATGGCAAAGAATGGCTCGTCCTCGGGTTGTCTTAGGTTGGAGTGGGACCAAAGCCATCAGAGGTCCCACTTGTATCCCTCACAGGTTTAGGGTCTTGGGTGTCAGGTCCCACTACCTGCTCAGGAGTGGATTGCATTGCACATTCCCCTGGGCTGAAGGGTGGAAAGAGGCTGAGGCGACGCTGAGAGCAGGAGGGGACAGTGTGGTCTCAGGTTCTCGGAGGATGCTGGCTATCACAGCTCCTCTCCAGGTCCAGGTGGCCTCCTTCCAGCAGGAGCCGGAGAAAGGGCAGCAGTCTCCTGAACACAGGCTTCTGGCTAGAGGTCGGGAATTCTTTCTTAGGAGACTTCTGGGAACCCCGTCTGCCAAGGTGGGGTGAGATGTTCCTAGGGCAGACAGAAGATCCCCTTCCGGAGACTCCTCAGAGTCTCCTTCTCTCCGTTATTCCACCGGCTGCTGCCTTCATGATCTCTTATTTGGACAGGATCTCCCATCTCTCTATGCTCAAGCCAAACTCCCTCCTTTCTATCTTCTGCAGTACAGCCTAAGGGATCTTTTTAATATAGCTCTCTTGCTCACAATCCTTTGATGGCTCCCTATTGCCCCTGGATGAAAGTCCAAGCACTTTTCTCATGAAACTCTTCCAGCCCTCCCCTCCAGACTGGGCTCTTCACGCGAGCACCTTGCTCTAATTTCTCGCCGCGTGAATTGCTTGTCGTCCCCACACCATACCGCCCGCGTTGTTCTCTCCTCCTGGAACGCATCCCACCAGCTTTCCTACTTCGTCTGGCTCTGGGAGCATATCCTTTGGGAAGCCCTCTGGGACCTACAGGGACACTCCCCTCCTTTGGGTTTCTCTACCTCTGGGTTTTCCTGGCTGTCACGCTCAATTAAACAGTTTCTGGAGGGCAGAGTTTGGACATTATCCACCTCTGTATTCCCAAAGCTCTGTCACTGGCACTTAGTAGGAGATCAATAAATGTTCAGGGAGCTGAACTGAGCCTGCTGAGGTCCCCTCCACAGAGGTGATGACAGAATTGAATATGTCTACACGAGCTGTCCCTGAGCTGGAGAAGAGGCAGAATCTAAAGGGCAGCTGGGGTCAGAACAGTGCACGGGGCTGCTGGACATCTCAGCAGAGTGGCCAGTCCCTCTCTGCGCCCTTCTCCCCCTCCCCTGGAACCACCCACTCCCTAGCCCACTTCTCCAGTCCCAATGGTCTAAGTGTAACACAGTCAGCACCCCAGGGGGCATGCAAATGATATCAGGAAGGGGGGGGGGCAGGGACAGTGGCCCAGGGCCTCCTGCTGCCTCTTGTCTTTTTGGGCTTCACTCTGCAAAGGAGTCAGCCTCTCTTCTGTCCCCTGAAGGCTGTTTTCAAAATCACACCCTAAGCAGACAGTTTTATTTACAAGGAAATCTTGGCAAGATCTTGACTTGTTAGTAGAGTAGAGATGCAGGGGGAGGGTGGTGAGAAACAAAAATAGTCGAAATGATCACACTTTCTGAAACCGAGATGAAAATTGGTGTCTGTAGCAAACTCACCTAATTAGAACCAAGTTAATTTCCTTTTCTGTGTTTAAGGGGAGCAGTGGTCGTTGTGAGATGGTCACAGGTTGGAGCTGGGGCTGGGATTATGTGTTTGCTTTACAGACATGAGGGCATGAATTGCAATTTTGATGACTGGAGAAAAGCCTGTTTCTGAGAGGGAGCAAGGGCCCTGAGTGAGTGGGTGGGTGGCGAGGAGAAGAAGGAAGAGGAGTAGAAGGGGACAGCCTCGATGTGGGTTGGGGACTCACTGACTGTGAGACATCCCCAGGAATGAGTCCTCCTGGGAGAACTGGGCACCTGTCCCAGCCGGCCACTGGCACAGTGTACAGGCAGAGCCTGCTGGGGGAGACCGGCTCTCCTGGAAGGCCTTCCCTGCAGAGGAAACAGCACCAATGTTCTTTTCTTTAAAATACCCCTGTCCCTTTGCTCTAACTTCATTCCTGCTTGCTTTAGCTTACCTGCCCTTTCCCAGCTGGGGCACTTCCCTGGGCTTAAGCCAAGGCAGTCAAGGGACGGCAAGATTAGGGCTTGGGGTCCGTCCGGGACTTCCCCCTCTAACTTCTCCCATCCCTAAATGACTGGGCCACCCTGGACCTCCCAGAATCTGAGACCTTAGTGAAGAGAGATGGAGGGGTGATCCGGATCCCCTCCTCTCAGCATCCGCCCCCCAATTCATTTCCAGTTAACCCCGACGTTGCCAACTTAGTGAAACCTGCTGCCTCCAACTAACCGTTAACCCGGCGGGTCTAGGGAAGTGGGCACTGCAACCCCCCCACCCCCACCCTGGCCCTGTGCAGAGAGACGAACCGGACCGGGGTGGAGGCGGGGGGTGAGGGGGCCGGGGACAGCGCAGCTCCGTCCCCGCCCCGGGAGGTGCAGCCACTTGCCTGCCAACCCCGCCGCAGCCCTCCGCCCTCCCCGGGCCCCGGCGCTCTGACCGATTTGGCCCGGGTGGTGGCGTCCGGGGGGAGGCGGGCGGGGACGGCGGTCCCCCGGAGCAGCCCCGCCCCCGCCTGCGTGCCGCCCGCGAAGAGTCCGTGGGGAGGAGGAGACTCCAGCGCAGAGCGGGGGCCGCGGGAAGGGAGCGCGGGGCGCCGCGGGGCTAGGGCCGGCCCAAGGGCGCCCTCTCCTCGGAGCCGGGCGTGGGGGCCGAGGCGGAGGCCCGCCGGCCGCGAGCGCGGAGAAGTTTGGCGGCGGCGGGGCGGGCGTCCCGGGGTCGCGAGGCGGCGATGCGGGGGCCACGGGGGCGGGCGCGGGCGCGGGCGGCGGGGCGGGCGCGGAGGCGGCGCGGCGCGCGCTGAGTCCCCGGAGCGGCACGGCTGCCGCGGCGCAAAGTTAGCCTGGCGCCCCGGGACGAACCCCGCAGCCGCTGGCCGCCCCTGGATCCCGCGTCGGCATGGGCGAGCACCCCAGCCCGGGCCCCGCAGTGGCCGCCTGCGCCGAAGCCGAGCGCATCGAGGAGCTGGAACCCGAGGCCGACGAGCGGCTGCCGGCGGCGCCGGAGGACGTGAGTGCCCCCTCCCTCGCCCGGGCAAACTTTCTGGGGGACACTAGGAGGAGAGCTGCCCCGGACTCGTCTCCGTGGGGGCAACTTGGAGGTTTCAAGGTGACGCGGAAGCGCCCCGGATTGGCCGGGTCCCCGCGGGCGGGAGGGGGCGGAGGGACCCATCTCCCCAAAGCGCGAGGGCCACCCCCGCTCGGGCTCCCGCGGCTTCCCTGCAGGACACAGCCCCCCCGCTGCGCTGGGGACCCATCGGCCGCCGGAGCCCCTTCCCTGCGGCTGGTGCAGTGCCCGGGACACGGCGTTTTCCCGCAGAGGCGGCCGCGTCACAGCAGTGGCTCCCCTCCCCTCCCACTCGCGACCTGCGGGTTCTCCGAGCCCGGGGAGGAGCAGGGTCCGCAGAGTCCCCCGAAACGCCGCTCGCCGGTCTGACGACCCCCTTCTTCGCTCTCACGTTAGCCCTTGCTGGGCAGCTGCGTGTCGCGACACTGATTAAAATTCAAGCTGGCCCTTGTCCCCGAAGCGGCGGGAGGAGGGAGAGGAGTGCTGGGAGCGGCTTTGCTCCAGAAGGGGGCTCCGGAGTCCCAGACCGCGCGGATACCAGCCCCGGGCCCTGGCGAGGTTGGGGAGGGGCTTCCCCGGAGGGCTTCCCTGCCAGCTGCTGCTCCAGTGTCCCCCACCCTTGGGTCCTGGAAGTCATCTGCGTAGCCGGCACTGGGGAGTCCTGGGAACTGGAGTTTCTTAAGCTTCTCCCTCCCGAGGTTAACCTGCGCATAGAGGTGGAAAACTGGCCAGACACTCGGCCCTGCCCTGTCGCTCTGTCGGGGAGCGGATATGGAAGTGAAGCCAGCTTCCCCCACCCCAACCTACCAAACCTGAGCCGAAAGTCTGACTGTGCCCCGGGGGAGTTTAACATCTTCCCTCCCTTTGGCTCCCATAGTTAAACCTCTCACTTGTTTCTGGGCCCAAAGCCCTGGTAGAACCTCCTGCCCTCGCCACTGAGCCAGCCTTGGAAGAGACTGGGTGGGTTTCAGCACTTTGGAGGAGCCCCTTCCTCCCAAACTGCAGGCACAAATTAGAGCTTGCGCAGGGGTTTGCCCGAGTGAGGGGTCTCTGGCCTCCAGCAGGCTGAGCCCACTGCAACAGGTCTGCTAGAATGGCACCTGGGCATGTATTCCCTGGAGTAGGAGTGGATAGAAAGCTTTATAGTGATCAAGAGGCCCTTGGACAGAGCTGGACTCCTTTATTTAGTCGTTGTTGAGAATCACCCTTGTTCTGCTCATCTCTGCCTGCCTTAAAACGAGGGTCACTCCGTCCTCCTCCCCCGCCTGAGTTCCCAACCTTTGCTCAGTACAGACTCATCTGGGGAGCTCTTCCCAGGTTTTCCGTGGTCTCTTGTGGTGGGCCCCTGAACCTGGGGAGCAGCTGGGGGGTCATTTCAGAAATAATAGGGGGCTACAGGGCTACAGAAACCTTGGCGTTAAGTGTGTGTTTCTTCTTTCTCTCCTCTTCCTCCTCTCCTGCATGGCCTCCCTCTCTACCAGCACTGGAAAGTCCTGTTTGATCAGGTATGTGAGCAGTTAAATCCCCCTTCTTCCTTCCAGCCCTGCTCTGCACTCCCAAAATGGTGATGTGGGGTGGGGTGTGGCTTAGTGCATCTCTGGGACCCAACAACACTGCTCTCCAGGTTTCAGGAGGAGGCAGTGGGCTCCCCCGAGATGATAGCCTGCCTTCCTCTTTCCTCCAACTCCGCTTCATCAGAGCTGGGTTTGTACTATGTAGAAATTGTACAATACATATTGAAAGTAGGGATGGTCTCTATATGCCAGGGCATTGCAGTTGGGCCTGGGGTAGTGGGGGGAAAGGCTTAGACTAACATTCCCTCTTCTCCTCTAACTCACTATCAAAGATCTATGCCTACCAATGAAGTCATTCTTGGAGGGTGACTCACATTTGGGTTCTTTTGAAAGCTAACTCAACTTTAATTTTCTGGCAGGAATATAGGGAAAGATGTAGGGAAAACAGTACGTGGTTATTTGCAATGTCTAGAGTCTAGGCCTGGGGAATGGAATGGGGTTGGGGGTGCCAACTTGGGAATCCACAGATGGACTTTGGACCTTCGGCCAGGAAGTGGTTCTCTCTGCTTGGGACTCGTGTTGAGGGCTGTGTGTATTTTCTTCTCCTCTTCGTTCCGTGGAGCAGGAGAGATGGCAAGAGCTGTCCCCATGTAGGGGAATAGTGAACACTGCGGTCCTGGGGTGACAGTGATTGTGCCATGAAGTTTGTGCAACTTTAAGAGGCCAGTCTGACTGGGCCAGTGGGAATATGTTTTCTTGGGAGAGAGAGAAAGCTGAGAAAGTAGCTTGGACCAGACCATATCCTGTTGTAGGCAGGAGAAGCCGTGGAACGTTTTTTAGCAGGTTTGTTCCGGGATCCAAGCCATGCTTGGGGAAGGTTCTGTGTGATAGTGGGGTGGAGGTGGGGTGACTGCAGGGATGAGAGACACCAGCTCGGATCCTCTGCAGTGCGTGGGCACAGGCACCTGACTTGGAGGACGGCAGTAAGGATGGAAAGGAAGAGGGAAACGGCGATGGGAGACTTGAAAGGTCTCACTAGACTGAATAGACGAGGTGAACCGCATATATAACTAGATTCTGAAGAGGAGAAAAAGGAAACGTCAGGGATGGGGTGGAGGAAGTTGGCAAGAATGACAACTTTGGTGTCAGGCAAGTCCAATTTGAGGAGCCAGCTAAATGCAGATGCCCAAGTGGGACCAAAGACATGGAACTGCAGCTTGAAAGACATGGCAGGCCTGGCGTGGGGGTGTGGAGTGTCATCCACGTTAACACGAGGCCTGGCTGTGGTTTGGGGGTCATCCAGTCCTGTCCCGATGGGGTAGCACATCTCTCCCTCTGCTCTTAGGTGCCACCCACTCTCCCTCGGGCGCCTAAGAGAACAGCAGCTGCTGGCCTGGTGCCCTGAGGCAGGAGGGAGCTGCTGCCGCCATACCCAAGGAGCAAGCTGCCAGCCCTTCACACTTCTTGTCAGATTTAGAATCAGAACCTAGAACACACTGTATTATTCTGTTTTCCTGTGTCTGTCGGTCTCATTTGATTAATTTCCTTTGCTAGTCCCTGGGTATATGTTTACACTTTGAAACAAACTATTTGGATAAATAGAGGAAAACTTTTAGTAGGAAGACTTTGGAACTCCAGGGAGCAGAGAGAATGTGTAGTACCAAATATTTGTGGGTGGTCTGTACAGTTCAGTTTCTGCCACTGGAGGGAGGTCCTGAGGGTCACAAAGACCATCCCCCTGTTTTGGGGAGGGCCCATCTGGAAACCATTCTGAACAGGCAAAATAATCTTAGGAAAGAAACTCCCCAAACTTACTCTGGACAATTATTTTTTCCTCCCTAGTTCTGCCTGTCTACTCCCCATCCCTCCTGTGGCATTAGAGGCCCATTTTTGTCATCCTCCTTCCCGTCGGTGCTCTGTGTTCAAAGACAGGGCTTGACCACCGGCAGACTTCCCCTTGCATTGCAAGCCAGCCCTGGACCATTCCCCTCGTAGGGCTAAATGAAGCGTGGGCATGAAGCTTCACAAATGGACACACAGCTTCAGAAAGGTGCCAGGTTATTCAGAAAACTGAATCGTTTTATCCTTCCTGCCTCTTCCTCTGGGCCTGCTTGAAGATAGGGTTTGGTGCCCTGGCCGGTGTTGCTCCATGGTTAGAGCTTCAGCCCACACACCGAAGGGTCTCAGGTTCAATTCCCGGTAAAGGGCACGTACCTGGCTTGCAGGTTCGATCCCCAGCCCCCGTCAGGACACGTGCAGGGGGCAACCAATGGATGTGTCTCTCTCACATTGATGTTTCTCTCTCTCCCTTTCTCCCCATTCCTCCTTCCCTTCCACTCTCTCTAAAAATCAGTGGAAATGAGAATTAATAAAAAAAAATGATGAACGTGGTGCACGTAAGAGAGAACATTTGGCTGGTGACTGCCACGCATCTCATAGACAGCCCTGACGGGTCACACTGTGGGGAATGGGGTGGATGGGACTCCCGCCACACTTCTCAGAGTCCCTGCAAGCTGATGTGCCCCTGCAGTTCATTTCCCAGAGGGCAGTGGGATAGGAGACTGGCCCCAGTCAGTCCTTCCTTCCTGGATCAAGGGGATACCAGTGGTCAGCTGATTTCAAACTGGGATCTGCTGGGACCGTCTTCCAGGTGTTAGGGATGGAATTGGACCAGTTCCTCCATGCTGTCTAGTTCCTCATCACATAGAGTAGCTTTGACCCAGCATGAAGCTCATTGGATCCCAAAGGCTAGAAGCCATGACCTTGACCTTTTGGTCTTATGTGGTCACCCCTCAACTAAATGACCAAGATGTCTTCTGTGGGAGTTGGAGATGAAGGAAACAGGTGACCCCAGTCCCTTGTAAGGTTATCCAGCAGGCCCCCTGGCATTCTGGGCATTGGTCTGGCCTGCTCAAGCAGGTGTGTAGCATGACATCCATCCTACCCCTCCTTAGTCTTCCCCATCGATCCCAGAAGTTAGAGCAGTCAGAAAACCTGAGTATCATCACTTCCCCGGCCCACTTCCCACCAGGTACCATGTTTTTGTTTCCTATTTTAACTTGTGCTTGAAGGAATTGTCTTTTCATATCATTGGAATTGTAGGTTTTGCTAAGTTACCATAACTATTAATCTGTTGTTATAGGAACACAGTTTTAAAAAAAAGTCTTATTTTTCTACAATTGAATCTGTTGGACTTTTGCTTCCTAATTCCTTAAATTAGTTTGGGCCATCCCTTTACAGATTTCCTAAGTATATGCTTCTTAGTATATGCATCATTTCTTTTTTTTTTATCCTCACCCGAGGACTTTTTTTTTCATTTTTTGTTCAGATAGAATGGGAGGGAGAGAGAAGAAAAGAGAGAGAGAGAAACATCGACGAGAAAGGGACACATCGAGTGGCCGCCACCCGCACGACCAACCAGGGCCGGGGACAAACTGCAACCGAGGTACGTGCCCTTAGCTGGAACCAAGCCCAGATCTCTCTGGACCACAGGCCGACGCTCTAACCACTGAGCCAAACCGGCCAGGGCTGCGTTATTTCTTTTTATGTTTTCTATGATTTAGAAAAAAAATTATATAACCCTTTACTCCATCCAGATCTTATTTCTATCCAGCTACCCCAGGATCACTTATTAAGAAACACTTCCTGCCCTGGCCGGTTTGGCTCAGTGGTTAGAGTGTCGGCCTGCGGTCCGGAGAGACCCGGGTTCGGTTCCCGCTAAGGGCATGTACCTCGGCTGCAGTTTGTCCCCCGCCCTGGTTGGTCGTGCGGGTGGCAGCCACTCAATGTGTCCCTTTCGCATCGATGTTTCTCTCTCTCTCTCTCCCTCCCGCTCTATCTGAACAAAGAATGAAAAAGTGTCCTCAGGTGAGGATAAAAAAAAAAAAAAAAAGAAACACTTCCTTTGCCCTGGCCGGTTTGACTCAGAGGTTAGAGCGTCGGCCCGCGGACCGGAGAGTCCTGTGTTCAGTTCCCGCTAGGGGCATGTACCTCGGTTGCAGTTTGTCTTCAGCCCCGGTTGGGGTCGTGTGTGTGGCAGCTACTTGATGTGCCTCTCTCACGTAGATGTTTCTCTCTCTCTCTTCCTCCCTCCCTCCCTCCTGCTCTATCTGAAGATAAATGCAAAAAAGTCCTAGGGTGAGGATTAAAAAAAAAGAAAGAAACACTTCCTTCATCCATTGTTTGAGAAATGTTATTATTCAGTAAATTTTTACAGGTGGTTGGGTATATTTTAGGTGTCTGATCTGTTCCACTGATATTTACAGCTTTGCTCAGGTCATGTACCTTTTAGATACTGCTTTTTATATGTGTTCTGTAGCTTTCCTACAGTCCCTCTTTTTAAGGTTATGCTTTGATAGTCTGATTCTCAGCCCCTTCCTGAACTCCAAGGAGGTGCCCCCAAGGACCCAAGATCAAACAGCAGGTCAGTGGCAGATGTGGAACCAGAGCCCAGTTAACCCATAAGGGCTTCTGGGGTTGGAAAACCATTTCCGTGCTCACCCTTAACGGTGCCTTCAAGATCTGCGAATGTTTAGTGAGCAAAAGGGTTTGGAGTTCTGTTCATTCGCACAGCACAATTGCTTTCAAGCTCAAACAAGCAAGGGGGAAAAGGTAGAACTGAAAGTAATTGATTGTATCTCTCTTTTTCCCTTCCCATGGGGAGCATGCATTTCCCTGACTCCCCAAGAATGACCTTCAACTTTGCTGATCTCCCAGAAGGAAAGGGGGCAAGTCTTAATTATCCCACCATGGTTGCAAATGTGAATTCAATGACCAGAGCATGCTGCTGCTTAGACGGACTACTGGGGGCAGAACCCAGTTAGGAGTCAGGTAGACCTGGGAGCCTTACTGACTTCGTGATGGGGGGCAAATAACATCATTTCTGAGCCTCAGTTTCCTCCTCTTTAAAATGGAGACGATGCCCTGGCCAGTTTGGCTCAGCGGTTAGAGCATCGGCCTGTGGATCAGAGAGTCGTGGGTTCAATTCCAGA